CGAATATCACGCAGCTGTCCATGGAGTCATGGCATGGAATAGACCTATGGCCCCCCCGGGAATAATATACGAACGACACCGGTCTTAAATCTTTTCTGGGGGGAAGCAGGAAGGAAATGAAGCCCTGAATCACGAGAGACCCTCGAAACCACGAATTCCTTTTTCTTCTCTTTTTCTCACTCTCCAATTTTCCGAGCAATCGAATTCATTCCGAGGGCGCCTCCCCCTCCGCGGTTCATTGCAGCTACCAATTACCAGCACCACTCTCGCGGTAACTGGTAATTCCAGAACAAACTGAAGGTGGAAAACTCGCGTGACTGGACGGGGGGAAGGGGGGGAGGGGCGGAAGGGGGGGAAGGGGGAAGGGGGGGCGATGAAATCCTCTTATGGCCGAAATCCTCTTATCTTCGCGGAGGAGAAATATATGCATCCGGCATTAAAGTCATCAATCCTCTCCGGCTTAAATTCATACTCTCCGATCGCGTCGTCGATTTCAACGCGATTTCGTTTCGAACTTTTGAGAATGTTCGAAACGTTCAAACGTTCGAAAGCTCATTTCGAAAATGAGCTTTCGAACGTTTAATTGAATTATCAGGAAATGAGGGTTACGTTTGCTGAACAAGAATGATCGGTTGATCGAGAAATGCCCGAAAATGTTGCGGAGAGTCAAATTTATGCGTGTACATCCGAGAAAATTAAAGCTGAAAAAAGTGATCAATCAAGTCACTGAGCAAACTACAGTATAGGACTATAGATGAATTAATTAGTCGAGGAGGCATCTTGTATCTTTCGCAAACCATGTGCAAACTTATTAGGGTTATTATATTTCCGATTTTTCCCAGACATGCCCTCCTCATATTTTTGGCTGTCAGAAATATGACAACCCTAAAACTTAGTAAATAATATATACTTATGCGGCTCGGTTTACACTTAGAAAGTTCAGTGAAAGAAAATACGAGGGGAGAAGGTGTTCGTTGCATTTGCTTTGCCTTCACTCCCGTGCAGTTTTCCCTTGCCGATGATCCCTGCCTTTTTTTTTTGCATAAAATAGTCGTGTGAGTGTGCGGATTGTTGTGCATCGCAGGGCCGGGTTTGGCGTTCGTGGCTTATCCGGCTGCGTTGATGGAAATGCCGGTTGCCCCGCTTTGGTCCGCCATCTTCTTCCTCATGTTCATCTTTGTCGGTCTTGACAGTCAGGTCAGTAATTAAAAAAAAGAGAGAGAAAAGGGGGCAGCGGTGACATTTTTTTAATTTCGAGAGAAACGCCTCCAAATTATCGCGACTGCTGGTCCAGATCGCACCAACCATGCACTGCAATTTTTCCTGCGTCTTCGAGAAAAAATTTAAATTAAAAATTTCAGATTATCTGTTGAAAAGTGCTCATCGTATTTTTGTTCCCGTTGTTCCCTTTTCTGCATCACAAATAATTCCTGTAATCGGAGAAGTGGTTAAAAAGCTTCGATGATCTCCGATCGATAGTTTTGCACACTGGAAGGTTTCATCACGGCTTTGATGGACGAATGGCCCCGATATCTTCGGTCACACAAGGAACTCTTCATCTTGGCTGTTTCCCTATTTTCCTTCGTCATCGGTCTCTCTCTCGTCTCCCGGGTAAATGAGAGGCTTCAGTGTGCGTGTACTTTGATTGACAGGGATTCAATATTTTTTTCTTGTTTTCAGTGCGGAATGTACGTGCTGTACCTGATGGATAATTACGCGGCAGCCGGAATGTGTTTGCTCTTCATCACGGGCTCGGAGTGCATTTCCATCGCCTGGGGTTACGGCGCCTCGCGATTCTACGCGAATCTCAAGGAAATGATCGGATATCCTCCGCTGCGGTACATGAAGTACTGCTGGCTCGTCTTCTGCCCCGCCGTCTGCTTCGTGAGCGATCGAATCGATGTTTCCTGGAATAAGGCGACTGAGGAGTTGAAAAGGGCGGAAGAAAAATTTCCCCTTTTCTTCCATGAGGGACTCAAAAATTCAAACCTTTACGGAAAGGCTACGGTTCTCTCATATTTCGCTCGAATAGTTGTTTTGTATAGTTAAGCGTATCTATAGACGGTGTGAATGGTGGGCTCAATTTGGGCCTGAGATACTACGAGGATCAAACCCATAGACAATAGAGGGAGATAACCACGGAATAAAATAGCCATCCATCAATCGGCCCAGTGGTCCTTACGATGTCGCTTGAGTCCCTTCGCTAAGAGGATAAGAGAAGATACATTCATCTGAATGCCACTTTGTCAGGGCAAGATCATCAGCAATCCTTGCGAGAACACATCAAATGTTGCTAAATTGTTACCACCCTTCAGAAAATATGGTGAACTTAACTTTTGCTATGATTCCGGAACTTTTCAATTTGAATTTGAAGCGTTAAATCTCGCAGAGCGTCAGACGAGCATGATAGAGTGGATGAAGGGAGATCGCCTTCATCCGCTCAGTCGTATCATATTTGTCATCTGGTCCTTCGTAGGCCTTCGGTTCCCCTATCCCCATCCCATCTAGTGGGATTTTATCGTACACTCACACAGCATCCTTTAGAAGCAACTCTATACATTCTATAATATACCATTTCAAGCAAGATCTGCACACTCCTGTGCCTTCTCGAGTCGATTCAGTTCCTTCTTGTCACGTGAAAGCTC